CAAAGAAAAACGGGATCAAAGTTTAAAGTTAGGGGACCTTCTTTTAAAGGTCTTACGATATATCAAAAAGTAACTTTTAGATAAAACCACCAAGATGTTGGAACATTTTTAATGATAGCAGTGCACTCAATTCGAAAAAATAAAAACCTTTTTTTGAGAGTCGCTATATTTGGTACCGATTCCTCTGGAGTCCTAAAAAACTGAAAAAAAAACGAAATAATTAATTTTGATCAAATTCGAAATTTTTCTATTCTCTTACTCTGCGATAACAACAGGGAACCCTACAAGACGACAGTCAAGCAGAGCCTATATACTTTCAACATCCCCGAAAGAAACCCGAATTCGTAATAAAGGATTACTGTAGATCCTCTGACTCATACCACTTCCCAGTTTTTGGCGCCAAAAATCCACAAAGACTAATTCGAATTACATGTATCTTGTGCAAAAAATCGGATTTTCTTGCAACACCCATCACATTGCTAAATCTACAGTAATCTGCTAGAACACCCAGAAACTGATATCTATAATCCTCCCTACCTCCTAACGAAAAACTTCTTAACAGAAGCTGCTGGAATCCACGTACATATCTGGTTGATAAGACCAAAATGTCACCCCTTTTTTTTCTTTCTTTTTCTACCTCTATCACATTTTGCACCCTCCTCTTTCTAAACTTCTTTAAAGATTATCCCCTCTTCTATTACACAAAAACCCGAAAAAATTCGGAGGTGGGCGGAGCTACCTGTCTCTTCCAAAAAGGGAAAAAGCATCTCTCTCTCTTCGTTTTGTAAAAATAAGTGGATTTTTTCGTATAAAGCCACCTCCACCACAGCCCCACCCACTTCTTATCTTTTCCATTTATTCCTGATTCCATCCCGAAGACACACTACACCTGTCCCCGCGCTCCTTATCCTTTATCACTCAATTAGGATACTGTTTCTTATTTTTCAAATTGATTGCTTATTTTTTAATTTATTCTCTTCCTCATAATGAGAAATTATTATTTGTTGTTATTTACGGCAGGTTTGTTTATAAGCTCTTGTACTATAATCTTAATCTAAAAATTTCAGCGTTAGCGTATGCAAATGTGAATCAGCAGCCACAAGATATCACTAGGAATGGAGCTGTCAAAGAAGGAAATCACTTAAGGGCGAGTAAAAAAAATTTATTTTGTCAAGGGGTGAAAATTAGAGCTAGGGAGATCAGATATAAGCTCGAATCGATATGGTCTCTATAATAATAGGTTTGGTCACTGTTCTAATAGGTATTATCACTTTTCTAATAGGTATGGTCATTTTTTTCTAATAGATATCGTAACTTGTCTAACAGGCATGGTCATTTTTCTAATAGGTATTATCACTTTTTTCAATAGGTATGGTCACTTTTCTCATAGGTAAGGTCACATTTCTAATAGGTATTATCATTTTTCGAATAGGTATTGTAACTGGTCTAAGAGATATGGTAACTTTTCTAATAGGTATGGTTAGGCACCGCAATGAAAGGGGGCGTGGCGACCAAATTTTTCTCCCCTTTTCAGAAATCCATCTTTGAAGGCTTGTACCGGGCGTTAGAAACCCATTATTTTTTTGGTGAGAACTTGTCCCTATGTAATCGACTACGCTGAATCCAATGAAATTATCAGTTCTTCGATAACTTTATTATTTTGATTCGAAAACTTCGAAAAATAGAAGTGGGACTGACAAAGTGGACTAAAAGTGCTGGATGGAAGTTCGCGCCATTAGATTTTTTAATGGATTCTGATAGTTTATGAACTGGGGGATTGGATTTTGAAATAAAATCAAAATTCTAACGACGCCCTTGTTTCACAATTTTCAGCCAAAGTTCCAGCTAAAATAAATAAAAAATTTCAGCGATGACCCCAATTTTTTTTTGCATATTATGGTAAAACTAAGTCTTGTGTATACTTCTGCCAATTTTCAGAAAGATTGGATACCTCTAAGTAGTTTTGATACTCATCCGAAAATTCCAAACTTTCAAAATTTTCAGTTTTTGGAAGTTTTGAAGGTGACACAGGTGAGCGCCACCGATTTTCTTTTCACCATAAGATTCTACGCAAAATTTGCCACTAAGAGCAATTATAATTAAAAAATTCTATCGACGCCCTTAATGTGTTATACGTCTGTTTCCTTATCATTCACAGATCAATTTCTTTAAAACATAGGAAGAAAGCAACACCGGAAGAAGGCAGCAGGCAGCGAAGAGTCGCACATTCATATTTTCCCTCTAAAGCTACCACCGCGAGTGCAGCCGTGGCCGACTGGATAGTGGGTGCGCGCGCCGATCTGACGCAGGCGGAGGTTCGGGTCTCTCTCGCGTCTAATAGCTTTTTCTTTAATTTCCTTCACGAATTTTCCGCGCCGCAGTATTGCAAGCTTCTAAACCCCGCCCACTTTTCTGCGCACCGCAAAAAAATGAGGAGAAAGTCAGTACATTGAGGTCTGGTACAAAATGGTGTGTAACTCGGGATTGAATGAAGATTTTTCGCTGAAATTTTGGGAATAGACTTCTGTAAAGTAGGAGAAGACAATCCAACAATAAAAACTGGGAAAAATCTATTTTGAAAATTTTGTTGTGGTGCCTAGGTATGGTCACTTTTTTCAAAGGTTCCTTGCCCTTTTAAAACATTTTCAATTTTATGAAATCTAAATTGAAGATCATAATCTCATTTTTTACAGGTAGACTTAAATGACACATCATCAGATGAGCTTATGGAAAAATGGTTGTCGCAAGCCTTCTCCGGATTGATGGCTGCTGTTGCCTCGAAGAAAATCTCCAAAGTGTCAGCAGAGCATCAGGAGATGATCCAAAAATGTTCCAAGGAAGCTAAAGACGTCCCATCCCACGCAAAATGTATTGTTCAATTGATGGACGCTGAGAAGACAATTCCAGCGGTCAAGCCAACAAAACCATACCAGAAGACTATCAAGACGACTACCGAAGAGCCAAAAGAGAATTTGGAATGGATTGGATCGTTTGGAACCGCCCGTGCCAAGAGATCCGCTGGATTCAAGGTCGTGCAAAGAGAGAATTATCAATTGAAAACTCAAGATGACAAGGATGACCTGACTAAACTTGCTCAATCAATGACCAGCACTCTCAGAGTTTTCAAAAATAAAACAGGAAAGAGAGAACCATGGGTTGAAGCTGTTCAAAGAATCAAGAAGTTGGGAGAAGAAGCTAAGCAGGAGAAGAAGAACCGCGAGATTATGAAGAAGAGACTGAAGCAGATGATCGACAATACTCCAGCCGAGTTTATTGATCCACGAAAGCCAGTTGCTTTGAAGCAGGTAACTTTTAATAAAGTTTCAAAAGTCAAGAAAATCTTTATCAGGCCGAGATGGAAGATGAGCAAACCGAAATCACAAAGATGATGCGCAAAAAGGAGAAGGAAGAGATTCGTGTGCCACTGAAGTTTCTCAGAGAAGCAGTCAAGACCGCTATGATGCTCGGAGGACAAAATGTGACTGATTTTGATCAAAAGACTTTGAAGATGGTCTCTCCAAGACTTATGTCGATTGTTCCAGAACAAGAGGATGACAGTTTGGTGAGAAGAGTTGCTTTTTGAAGGGGGGGGGGGTGTCTCGAATTGTTCCAAGTCTTTACATAATTAGTCATAATTCAGTTACCATAAAACTTGTATTAGATGGATACCCTTTGATACAAGAGCCCTTTCAATACAGGTTTTATGGTAACTAGGGTTAATTTGGTCAAAGGATGCTCTTAGTTATGGGGTTTTTTTTTATTTATCATCGAAGGGTCAATGTAGGAGTGTCTGAAAAATTAGGTGCACCTTTAAAGATTTTCTCGATCCTTCACAAACTTTCGAAAACCACCTAATTTTCCAGACTATATATCCAATTTGTAGTCTGTCGCATTTGCTCAATCGCTCACTACCCAAACCTTGGGCATTGAACCCATGTATCTCGGTTCCTGTGGAAGGTATCGAAAATTTGCCAACTGATAAATTACTCATCAAAATACCACTAACCTTTTATCAGTTAGCAATTTTTTATATCAGGAAACGAGATAATTGAGCTCAGAGTTGACGGTTTGAGTGGGCTTCTATTAGTGGAAATTCCGTATATTGAATCTTGATTTTATATTATTCAAACTTCATTCATCTATAATTGCTCATTTCCAGTTCAACCTGCTATCCCCATCTCTGTTCTCTCTTCACGACGAGGGAGAAGGTATTGAGAAGCTCACCTCTCTTCCACATTTGTTGAAAAAACTGGATAGCAACGGACAGAATGCCTGGTTGGATTTCATCGTGGAGGCATCTGGTGAGTGCCGAAATCCGGTTCTTGAAAGTGATCTGATGAAACTGATCGAGATCAATTTTTTCTAATTCCTCTGATTGATTTACATACATTCTTTCAGAAATCGATGAGCAAATGGATACGTTCGAGAAGAAGTTCAGAGAGAAGAAGGAAAAAGAATTGAGAGGTCCAGATGGAGTGCCACTTTACTTCACTAAAGAAAACGCCACTAAAATCATCGGAGAAGAGGAGAAGACCAAAATCGAAGTGTTCGAATATCTGGACAGAAACTACAATGAGGAGCAGAAGAAGAAGTTGAACGAGGATGGATTCGCCTTTTTGACACCTCATCAGATGGAGAAGCTCTACGGAAAGGGATCCCCATACAATAGTACCAAGGCTCTTAAGAAGTTCAAGAGGCTCAGAGATGACCCAGAGAGATACATTGAGAAGGAGTGAGTTTTTTTCGGATACCTACCGTAAAACCTCTAATAGAAGGGTACCCAAAATGTCACGTTTGAGACCAATTATCTCAAGTCCTATTGTCTATTCAATAAAACGTGACATTTTGGGTACCCTTCTATTAGAGGTTTTACGGTAGGTATCCGAAAAAAACTCACTCCTTCTCAATGTATCTCTCTGGGTCATCTCTGAGCCTCTTGAACTTCTTAGAATTCCACCACAGTGGCGATGATATCAGATCTGCCGGTCTAC